GGTACCTCCGGTAAAAGGGTTGAAGAGGTTTAGGACCAAAAATTCACCACCCATATAAGCCAACCAACCATGGCAAGAACTACAGCAACCGTAGCTATTGTGATTATCATACTTAGGCCCATGTTGTGGCAACTCAAAGCTGTATGCCTTTCCCTGTGTGACACCGTACAAGGAACCTCTTCCACCACGGTTGCGGGGGATGATGAGCATAGGAAGCTGTTTGTGACATGATTGGAGGCGCTGCTGCTTCTGATACAAAGCTACTGATCGCCAACGCTTGCAAACCACTCCGAACCGGATGTAATCGGAGATTGGTATCAACTTATCTAGTATCAAATCTAGAACGTGGCTTGGGAGCCATGCCCAACCTGAATCAAAGGTTGATGATATTGCCTCCGCCATATATTAGTGCTCGTTAATTTCCTCACACTCAAAATATCAATAGTTGCACAACTTGTACCTACCTAGGCTTTGGCATTTTATACAGAAGTAGTCCCAACAGTCCTAAACCGTGTAGAAAACTATCACATAAAGCTTCTCAATCCTAGTTTAGTTTGAAGTCTCAATCCGAAACTCATAGTATATCAATATCCAAAAAGTTCGCTCTTATCTGTTTGGAAATCAAAGAGTTCAAACCCCACTAAAAGTGTTTTTTCTTTTAATATCGATTGGGGGTGGAGATTCAAATTTGGAATATTGTGAAGATGAGTATCACTAAACTAATTGCTAGTTGTTAAGAGTTCAAACTTTTCCTTCCTTCTCTAAGTCAAATTGATATTGTTAGTTACATGTTGTGATTTCTTTTTAAAATTTTAAACGTAGGAAAATAACATTTGTTAAAATTTTAATTTGTACTATTTTTGCGGCCAATTATAATGGTACTTGTTCTCTATCCTCGTATAAAAACAAGTGGCACTAAATTTCTATCTCCCATGATGCAACCAAGCCCCTATATAAAAGATGAGCATCCAAAAGTTTGCATTGATCTGTCGTGTGTAAAAAAAATCCTCTAATATTAATCTTTAATTAAATATAAATATTCAATTGATATTTTCCTAATAAATAAATAAAAAGTAATACAAATCTTCTCCAAACACTAATACATACATACAGAAACCTAACAAGACCTACATCTGATCAGAATTAGAGAGGATTTAGTTGCAACTATTGCAATCCACCCAACATCTCAAAAATCAGGGAACACAGTCATGCTCAGGACTTTCGAATGTTGGGTGGTTGGACAGGTCAGTTCTTGGGTTAGGTTGGATCCGGTCAGAGACCCGTTGATTAAGCCAACACCATATGGTTTGAGGGTCACTTCAATATGCAAGGTTTGGTTCATATTTTTGTGGATGAATCCCTTCGATTTCGAGTTGTAAAGTTGCATTATTTAATAAACCAACTTGCCTCATTCGTGGAAAAGAAGGTCATTCACTTTTTATGTGGGAATTTCCAAACTACAAGTTGCTTAGGCACATAACCAACCAGCATGTCCTCCTGAACCACTTGTCCAGACGACTTGTTGAATGGCCCAAAAGCAACCAGATCACCATATATCTCACAAAAGTCACAACTTGTAATCTTAGTACCATGCTCATTCAACAAGATGAAGGAAAAAAACAACTCTTTAAGACTAACTGAGGTTGCAATGCATATATATATGTCTGAGAGTTTAGCATCGAAGAATCGCTTATGTTTCACCTAACCACCCAAGAAAAGCACATTATTTAAACAGAGTAATTAACAAATAACAAACAGTAAAAGTAACATTAAACTGATGATCAAAAAGAAAATTAAGCAAAGAAGTGATAGATGGGTTAAATTCAAAGTAAGAGGGGCAACCTCATGGCTGGACAAGATTGTTGGCTGGAGCTACTTCATGTCAAATGTGGGAATGACAACGTTAGTTAATGTCTGGTCTGGTGCAGTTTTTTGTCACCAAGTTTCTGCCCAACCAAGTCATCATGGAGATACGTTCCATTGTATTTTGGTCTTGCTCTAGAGCTTTGATAATTTTGTAGTATGAAAAAATTACTGGACAGGTGTTGTTCAAAAAATTAATGCTTATATTGGAATCTATTTTTACAACAATGTTCTGTATCAATATTTAACAAAAATTTGACATTTAACTTGTAAACATTAATTACTGTTTCTGGGGGAAGATTTTGGGGCAGCGAGTAAGCAAGGCCACCAGTGCTTGTTCCTGCAATCACATCGAAATAGTCAGCGATTCTTGCATCTTCACCATCCAGTTTCTGCAACATGATCAAACATTTTGGATAATTTAGCACTTGATATATTGACATAGAATTATTGCAGACATTGATCGATATTCTACCTGACCTTTAAGTATAATATCAATCTTTAGGTGATAAGGTTTCCATAGGTTGGGGCCTGCAAAGGTTTACTCTTGGTTTGTTCCAGGGATAAGCCCTCTTATTCCACCGCCATCGATGCTTAAAACGGTTCTAGAGTTCTTTGGTGAGGTTTCCTTTGACAGAAGTTCAGGAGGATTTATAGACTCTTACACTTATTTTCCGAGAATCAACCAAGTCAATGGATATAAATGTGATATCAAAATTTTGAATCAGTTCTCTAGTTTCTTGTATATATATAGTTGGACAGCATGGAAAATGTTCATTTCTAAATCAACATTAGCATCTTGCTACAGGACATGGTTAACTCCATGAGACTCCTAATTGTTAAATTGTAGGTGAGACTCCATGAGACTTGCAGGTGAAAATGTGAAGCCATATTGGAGGGTAATAAACATGATGCTGGTTAGGCCAATCCCCACTGATGGCCATGAATTTCCTACCTTTAAATCAAACCTCTGTCAAGCATGCAGCCAATGCTTACGCGTTATGATTCCTTGAAGGCACATCATGATATAAGATTCCTTGTCAAGGATTAAATCTTCACGCGATATGATTTGATTCATGGGAGATACATTGTTTAATTCAATTTTCAATGTGAATACATTGTTTAGGTTAACATATTTGTTTCCACAAGGAACAAACGTGTGAAGGCTTAGAATCACAAATAAAATGAAAACCTAGCTTGAAATTATTCTACCATATGGAACAGGTAACAAAGAACAGGTGGAACCATCTTTTCACACCATGGTGGGCAAAATCCAAATTGATGGTGGCATGTACTTCTGTGAAGGACTTGAGCAGTAGTAATTTGTTCCAAATTTTCTGTTGTCCAAATTGAAGACTGCCATGCCAAGAGGCTCTTGAACTTCATCATAAGCATCACCCACCCAATTATCAATGCAGAAGTATATGGAATTTGGATGACAACCCGGAAAGTCTAAAGCTGAGACACACATGGAGTGATTATTGCTACCCAAGAAAAAAGCATCGTTTCCAATACTATCAATCTCCTCAATCCGTTCACTTCCGATTTTATCCCCACAATCAGAGAACAACTTGAAAACCTTGAAGCTCAAAGTCTCAGTAAAACACTCAACATAATTCAAACTTTGGAACTTCCTAACCAGCAATAGATCTCCCCTAGACGATTCCACAAGATATGCTTGGTCATCAATACCTTGAACCATTGGTACAACTATGCTTACATGAGGTTTATAAGTTGGATCCTTGCTAACGTTTATCGCAAAAACCCCACCCTCCCTACTAGCAGCAAGAAACTGGCCTCTGTAATAGATCACATCATCAAATCCGATCACTTGATTCAGACCATAATAGAATCTGACCGTTTGATCTATGTGAGTCCAACCATGATCCCCTGACTTAATATGAGATACTTTGGTTCCATTGCAATTGAAAAGTGCCACAGCTTCGTAATCATTTGGAAACAAAGAAGGGTCTGCAGACAATACAACCTTCTTAATGTAGTGTGCACATCTATAAGCCTGTTTGTGTATGGATTGAGGGACTTCCTTGAATGGTGGAAGGCAAATGGTACTTTTGGTGAAAGGGTTTAAAAGGGTTACCTCCAAATTTTCATCCACACAAGCCAACCAACCATGGGAAGAACCGCAGAGCCTCTTATTGTATGGCACATGCAACTCAAAGCTGCAAGTCTTTCCTTGTGTGACACTATACAAGCCTCGCCTTTCGTGGCGGTTGTCTTTACTGGGAACCATCAGCATAGGAAGCTGCTTGTGACATGGTTTGAGGCGCTGCTGCTTCTGATGACAAGCTACTGATTGCCAATGCTTGCAAACGGCACCAAACCGGATGGAGTCAGTGATTGGTATCAACTTCTCTACTATCAGATACAAAAGGTCGCTCGGGAGCCATGCCCAACCTGAAACTACAGCTGATGGTATTGCCTCTCCCATAGTATTTAACCTTTTTCTTTTTTTGGAAGCCTGCTTTGCGTTCGGTTTCATTGACAATTTATGAGGAACCATAAGCTAACATTGTTGAATTGCCCTCCTGTTTTCCGGTGGAATATTCCCCTTCCAGCAAAACCAATGAAAATTATGATTTTTCTTTTTCCTTGTATGGCTCAACATATGATCAAATTAAATTGGAATTGGCTCCAAAACCAATAAGCTGGCAGCCTGGCATGCAACATTGTAAATTCATTAGCAAAGTGGCACTATGCTATCTCAAAAAGCCATATATAAAACGTCAAAAATCCCAAAAAGAATCATAGTTTGCAACACTGTCAGATGATTTGTTTTCTCTGTAAATGTGGTAAACCAAAATAAAGAACCCCACAGCTAACAGTTCTGCATTTAAAATATCTCCCCATCCAAGTTTAGCAGCAACCCAGTTAGCCAATTTCATGATATTTGATTTCTTTCTTTATTATTATATTTGGTGAGTATGGTTTTCCCAACAGATATATGCATATATATACGTTGAGTCACCTTTGCTGACTAAAATTATATAGTCGTCCATATTCAAATATAATGACTTGGTGAAAATTAGACTACTGCCATATAAACTTTGCGTCTCTTGTATTTCAATTCACATTATACTTCCATTATCCATCTCAAATTTTTCTAACTTGTGTGGAATCTCTCCCTGCAGACTCGAGAGCTGTTCATTATAATTTATATAAGTTCTTCCCCTAAAATGCATTGCTTTGTAAGAACAAGTTGCTGTGTTTTATTATCATCTTCAAGGGTCATACAGAATTGGAAGCTCAATGTCCTTATAAGAGATGTTTGGGGTTACATTTAGAATGACAAACAAATGAAAATAGAGCTTGAAGTTATTCTATCATATATATGGAAGAGGTACTAAAGAATAAAACTGGAACCATCTTTTCACACCATAGAGGGCAAAATCCAAATTGCCGGTGGCATGTGCTTCTGCGAACGATCCAAGCAGTAATGTGTTCCCATGTGTCTGTTTTCCAAGTTGAAGACACCCATGTCATGAGGCCCTTTAGGTTTATGGCATTCTACATCTACACAATCATCAGTGAAGTATATGGAATTTGTCTGACAACCCGGAAAGTCCAACGCAGAGACACACATGGATTGATTGGTACCCAAAAACAAAGCTTCATTTCCAACACTTTCAATCTCAACCCATTGGGGTCTCTCCCAATGAGCACAGAACAGCTTGAAAACCTTGAAGCCCAGAGTCTCCGTAAAACGATCATAACCATTTACTCGTTCAAACTTTAACCTTTTAAACTTGAAAAACTTGAAGTTGAGAGACTTCATAATGCGCTCACAATAATTTATTCGTTTGAACTTCCTAACCAGCAAAAGATCTCCCTGGGATGATTGCACAAGGTACGTCTTATTGTCAGTGCCTGGAGACATTGGCACAAGTAAGCTTACATGGGGTTTAGTAGTTTGATCCCTGCTAACATTCATCCGAAAAACACTACCACCCAAACTAACACCTAGAAACTGGCCTTTATAATAAATTACATCATCGAATCCAATCACTTGATCTATGCTAGTCCAAGCATCATCCCCTGACTTAAAATGGGCTACTTGTTTCCCATAGCCATCATAGATGACCAATACTTCATAGTCATTAGGAAGAAAAGAAGGGTCTGCAGACAATACAACTTTATTAATGTAGTAATCACTTCTATAAGCTACTGTCGATCTACAAGTGGATTTGGGGACTGGTGGAACGTTAATGGTACGCCCGGAAAAAGGGTTTAAGAGGGTTACTACCAGATTCTCATCCACGCAGGCCAACCAACCGTGGGAAGAACCACAGAACCTCTTACTGTAATACACATTCAACTCAAAGCTACAAGTCTTACCTTGTGTGACACTATACAAGCCACGCCTTTCGCAGCTACCATCTATGGTGGGAATGATGAGCATAGGAATCTGCTTGTGACATGATTTGAGGCGCTGCTTCTTGCAATGTAAAGTTACTGATTGCCAATGCTTGCAAACTGCACTAAATCGGATATAGTCAAAGATTGGGATCAACTTTTCTATAATCAAATCCAGAATGTTGCTTGGAAGCCATGCCCAGCCTGAAACTAAGGTTGGGGCATCTTCCATTGTGCTACATTTAACTGATTTAGGTGGCTAGCTTTGAATTGGTTTACATTGACAATTTATGAGGAATCAAGAGGCTTTCCTTAGGCTACAGTTCCTCAGGCATGCGCATTGGTGAGCTGTCCTCCTCAGTTACGGCATTGGAATATTCCCCCCTTACAGCAAAACCGATGAAATTGTGATTGTTTTTCCTTGTATATACGGTTCAATACGGTCATGTTTGATTTAGTGTCTTTTTCCTTGTATATATGGTTCAACATGGTCATGTCTAATTTAGAATTTTAGAAGGTTCCAAAAGTAGCAAGCTGGCTGTGACATAATCATAAATTAACTAATAACTAGCTTCACTGCATAAGGTTGGAGACGGCATCATAAGCCGATCGAAAAGCTCCCTCTACCCCATCTGTGTAGAGTTTCTTCAGAAGTTGAACTCAGTATCAGAGAAACAAGTGGCACAATCTCCCATGATTTAACTAAATTCTTAGGCAATAATATGATATACCAACTTGGGACAGGCATATTCATGTATTTTAGAAACAATCCCAGGAATAATTTGAAACAAATTCCAACACAAGCAGTTTCTGCAAAATTTATCCTCCCAAGGTTGTTTGCAAAAATTGATTGATCCTGGTAAGGCAGCAGGAACTTCTACTAATGGGTTGCTTGTGCATAGAATTTCACAGGGGGAGGAAGTCAAAGAGTGCATATTGCACATTCATAGAGGAAACAGAAGAAAATAGGGATACATGGAGTACAAAATAAATAACTCAAGCACCATAATTTTTCCCAATAATTGTTAATGAATAATAGTAAACAAGATCTGAATCTTACTAAATAAATTAATTATAAATAACTTTAAAAACTAACAAAATAGAGCTTAATATCATAGGGAAAAACTGAAGAAGAAAACTGGAACCATCTCCTCATACCATAGAAGGCAAAATCCAAAATTACTGACCAAACCTCCTCCTGTGGAAGACTTGAGCAGCATTGCCTTTCCAATGATCCGTTTTCCAGGTTGAAGACACCCACATGTGGAAACTTTACAGCATTAATGAAGTATATGGAATTTGGACGACACCCCGGAAAGTCTGAAGCAGAGACAGACATGCATACATTCCAACCCAAGAACAAAGCATCAGTTCCTATACTTTCAATCTCAACCCACTGGGGTCCTCCATCGCCCCCAAAATCACACAGCACCACCTTGTAAACCGGCTCCCGATATCCTGAAAATGACATCTCCACGAGCCATAGATCTCCCCGTGGCGATTCGACAAGGTAATAACTAGTAGAAGTGTGTGAAGGTCTGCTACCTATGGTACGAGTGATATCTGCTGGGTAACTGTTAACATTTATTGAGAAAAGCTCACCATTCTGAGTAACAGCACGAAACTGGTCTTGATGATAAATTACATCTGATAATCTCGTACTCGTATCTATCGTATGCATGTGAGTCCAAGTGTCATCCCCTCCCTTAAAATGGGATACTTCGCTTACTACTGTATAAAAGTCATGATAGAGAATCAGAGCTTCAAAACCATTAGGAAACAAAGAAGGGTCAGCAGACAATACAGCCTTGGCAATGCAGAAATAATCCCATGAAACATCCAGGGATTCGGGGCCTTTGACGGGTGGAAGGAGAATGGTATGCCGGGTAAAGAGGTTGAACAGGGTTAGGACCAAACAGTCATCATCCTTATAAGCCAGCCAACCATGAGAAGAACCAGAGAAAAAGGACCTCTTCTTGTGATGATAATTTGGCCCATGCTGCAACTCAAAGCTCTAAGCTTTGCATTGTGTTGTGTGACACCGTACAAGGAAACGCTTCCACAGTAGTTGCCTTTGTCGGTGATCATCAGCATAGGAAGCTGTTTGCAGCATGATTTGAGGCGCTGCGGCTTCTGGTACAAAGCAAATGATCGCCAAGCCTTGCAAACTGCACCAAACCGGATATAATCGGAGATTGGTATCAACTTTTCTAGAATCAAATCTAGAACGTCGTTTGGGAGCCATGCCCAGCCTGAATCTAAGGTTGATGATATTATTGCCTCTGCCATACTCGTTAATTAATTTCCTCACGCTAAAAATCAATCTTCTCCGATCTCTATTGAAAACACACCAGCAATTACAACTTGTACGTATTTGCAGGCTTTGACAATTTATATGCAAGCCCCCAACAATCATAAACGGCCTAGGAAAACTGTCACATAAAGCATCTCAACCCGAGTTTCCCATAGCCAATAGCACATTAATGAAAGAGTAGTCAAATTACTGAAATGACCACATTACCCATAGGTTTTCGTACCCTAAAAAGGTGCAGGCTAGAGTCTAAAAACTAAACGAAAGGGAATGAGTTTATACCCTTGTTTTTATTTTATATTATCCCCGAGTCTCCACTTTTAGTGCGGTTCTAATTATCTTGATCCTCAGAACTCGGAGTGGATGAACTTTAGGAATCGTTCTTATTTTATTATGCAAGCAGGTATAATCAGATCACATGAAACTAAACAACCAGAGGAAAAATGAATTAAAGCATCTTATAGCATCTTACTCCACCAATCTATGTTCAATTTACATAATTACACTTGTTATTGAATATAATCACACTTCAAAGAAAAAGAAAGTAACGTAACAATGCTTCACTTGCTCGTATTTGGTTTTCCAAATCTCTTTTTATAATGATATAAATGAACAACAATCGTGTGTGTCCAAATAGCATTACTAATTATAAATTAAGCTTATGTAATATTTAATATATCAATATCTAAAAGTTTTGTCTTTTATCCTTTGGAAATCAAAGAGTTCAACCCCACTATAGTGTTTTTACTTTTAATTGATGTCAGTGGAAATTCCAACTTGGAATTCTACATGAAGACATGCATCACTAAACTAGCTAGTTGCTAGTTGGTAAAACTTTAAAACTTTTTTTTTTCTTTGCTTGATCTAACTCTCAAAGTCAAATTAATGGATATGGGCAGAGACATGAGGAAGGAACAAAAAATAAAAAGCTAGAACGTAAGGAAGAGTAAAAAAGAGAAGAAGACATAACATTAAACAGGAAGGAGGAAAAAAAAAGCTATGGACATTAACTATCCCGTTAGTTGGGTGTTAGGATTTTCTTTTCTTTTTTAATTAAGAGTAAATTGGAATTTTGTTTTTAGGTTGATGTGTCAACTTTTAAATCCCTTAAATTAAATTTTAATGAGGTGGCGTATGGAGGATAAAAGTAAAACAGATCATGGCAGAGAAAATCATAGCAGAGGATCCGAATCCGATGAGTATACAAGCTATAGAGGACTTTTACAGTGTATTTAAATGAGGAAATTTAAAAATACAAAGGATTTCATAAATGATGGAATTTAAAATGACGGAAATTAATGTTCTAGAATTTGTAAAGTTTCTTGTTTGGGTGATGGATTTAAAACACGGAATTTAACCTTTATTTGTAAAGTTATATATTTTTTTAAAAACTCAATCTCTCTTGGGATTTTAGAAATGACGACTTTTAGATAGAATTTAAAGTTGGGATTTATGATCTCCAAATTCCATGTTTTTTCCCACACAGAATTTCAAAATTTCTATGTTTTTTTATCCAAACATGGGGTTCATGTTAATTTAGAAATTCTGACTTTTGTCAAAATTCCAAGTTTATTTCCCTCATCCAAACGCACAATTAGGCTTTTGAGGGAAGTTCTTTATTTTAGGGCCTCTAAGCTGGCCCAATATCTGACCGATTCGATGACTTGTCTAGACTTGTTCGAGTTGTCATTCCCCTAAAACCTATGTTGCATGGACACGAATACGAGGACATGAAAATGTGATACGGCAACACGGCTAAGACACAGCAATTAAAATAATAATAAATTTATATATATTTAAAAAATAATTCATATTCAATATTTTAAATACAATTGTTTTTAATAAAAATATTTTTTATGAGCAATTTTAAGAAATGAAACTGCCATTAATATCTCACTTTCACCCATTTTCTTATACTTTTCATCCCTCTTTTTTTTTGTAAGTACAATGAGGTGTCCAAGTCAGCTTACGCGCACCTCGACTAATCCCCACTCACGGAACTGAGCCTGTTGCTGGCCACCAGGTGTTGCAACTGCTGTGATTCGAACTGGGGAGCAAACCCAGCTGAACCCCAGAGCCTTACCCAATTGGCGGACAAATCACTGGGCCACTCTTGGTGGTTTACTTTTCATCCCTTTCAAAAAGGGGTATGGTAGTTAAAATGTAGAATAATATTTTAAATCATTAAAAAAAAAAACTTAAAATTATCTATAAAAAAAAAAAAAAAAAAAAGACGCCAGAAGCCACCCACCAAACCCAACCCCTTACCCCGTTGCCTCCCTTTACTCTCTCTCTCTCTCTCTCTCTCTCTCTCTCTCTCTCTAAAACTGAAAGGTCTCTTGAACCCACGGAAGCACATGCAAAATATCTTAAGCATTGAAATTCAATTATCATTAACACCCACCTCTCCCCTCAAGCTTTTACAGATTTGATGACAATCTGAAAATTGGTAGTAAACAAATGAGTGAGACCTTCAAAAGGGGAAATATAACTGGGTCTTGTCTTGGGGTAGCCATCGAAAGGGTGAGAATGAAGAATTCATATATGATTAATTTTATTTCAAAAGGTTATAATTGGGTTTTATGTTCAGTTGTAAAATAAAGTTTTAATTGTTTTTAAAAATGACACATGGTAAATTTTGAATGGAAGTATGACTGGTTGATGTGGTGATACGGTATCATTCTATAGTTTCTTCTCTCACACATCGCGACCCTCGTCCACATCGCCCTTTTTCCCCGGTTCACCTTCTCCCCTTTGCCTCTTTTTTTTAAATTCAATTGGGAAAGTTTCAAGCAGAGGCTTCAGTTGAAACTGTGATTGTGGGTGGGTTCAGCTCTCTCTCTATCTCTCCCTTCTATGGTTATTTTCTCAATCTCTCTGGTTCTTAATCGGGAAAGTTTCAAACGAGGCTTCTATGTTCAGCATCTTCAATCTCTTCCTCCTCTGAGATAGAGTTTTTATTTTTTAAATTGCAACAAAATCCCTGCAGTGTCTTGACCTTGGGTTGACCGTGTCCAAAGCGTATCGTATCCAAACGAGTATCCGATACGGGATACGCCACTAAATTGGCGTATTCATACCCCCTCAAAATTTTCCAGGAAAAAAAAAACCTTCAAAATTCAAGAAATTCGTCCTAAACCCCAAAAACCTTGTTCAGCCAGCAATAGAAATGTCTGTCTCCTTCACTTCCTCTCGACTCTTCTTTCACAAACCTCTCTTCTCTGTAAGTCTCTCTGTCTCTCTCTCTCTCTGTCTCTCTGTCTCTGTCTCTCTCTGTTTATTATCGTTTTGGGCTATTGGTTTGTATTGCAGCTGCAGAGCCTTTTTGAGAAGCAACGAGCACCTGGGTTTTGGAGAAGACCACAGGCTTTGAGGAGTCTTGTGGTCAGAGCAGGCCCAAAGAAGATATCTTTTGGTACAGAAAGCAGGGAGGCCTTACAAGCTGGGATAGATAAGCTTGCTGATGCTGTTTCTCTGACCTTAGGACCTAAAGGTATCTGGCTTTTCATCTTTTTTCATTATTAACTCTTTCCAAAGCATATTGTCTTCTAATCTATTATGATGTATTTTCTTATCTTGTACTAGTAGAGACCCAAGTAAATGAAGTTGCTCAGTTGTTGCATGACATACAAAGAGTCGTGATTGTTTGTTGCCATATGTTAGGAGTTGTAGTAAACTTTTTGAATTCAATCAGTGTAGCTAGTATTATATGATACCTTTGTTTCTTTAGTTGGGGGCTGACCATTTAATTGCATGGTTTTGCTAAATGTTGGTTTGTTGTCATACCAAAAAGATTCATAGTTGATTTAGTTGGTCGACCCTTCAGCTTATCTGGAATAATCATGACACATACTATTCCAAGGACTTGGAAGTGTTTCACATATGAGACAAATTGAGGCCTACGTGAATCTTGTTGGCGATGCTATGTGATATGAAACTAAAAGATGCACCAAATTGAGAATAATGCAAATTGTTTTTGGATTTAGACTTTTGCAAATAATTAAGTGGTGATTCCATTTACACGAGCATTGTTGATTGATCTCAAGTGAAACATGCAGGACGTAATGTTGTTCTTTCTGAGTCTGAAACACTGAAAGTGATTAATGATGGTGTAACAATTGTTCAATCCATAGAGCTATCAGATACAATTGAGAACGTCGGAGCAATGCTAATCCAAGAGGTCATACATAGTTGCTAGATAGTTATCTTTCAGAAGCTTATGTTGGTGCATTTCCGAGCATAAAATTATAACTTTTAGATCTTTACTGTCTTACTTGCAGGTTGCAAGTAAAATGAATAGTTTGGCTGGTGATGGTACCACCACAGCAATCATTTTGACAAGAGAGATGATCAAAGGTGGACTGTTGGCAGTAGCTTTTGGGGCAAACCCGATTTCTTTGAAGAAAGGAATGGATAAGACTGTGAATGAATTGGTCAAGGTCTTGAAGAAGAAGAGTCTTCCCGTAAAAGGAAGGAAAGATATTAAAGGTGATCATTTCTTGTCATTCAAATTACATTAGATTAGAATCACTTTTCAAGTGTTCTTTTATTTCTCTTATTTCTTTTAGATACAGTACAATATTTATAGCGTTTTCCCCTTTTTGCAGCTGTGGCCTCAATTTCTGCTGGAAATGATGAATTCATAGGGAACTTGATTGCTGAAGCTATTGATAAGATTGGCCCTGATGGAGTAATCTCAATTGAGTCATCCTCATCATTTGAAACGTCTATTTTAGTTGAAGAAGGACTGAAGGTAATTAAAATGATTTTCTTCCAATAAAAAAGATGACAAAGTCTATAAACCTATGAATTAAAAATTGAACTATTCTGATTATGGGAATTTTCATAGGGAAATGATCAGATGGCAACACACACACACACACACACACACACACACACACACACATATATATATATATGTAGCTCTACACACACACACACACACACACACACACACACACACACACACACACACACACACACACACACACACACACACACACACACACACACACACACACACACACACACACACACACACACACACACACACACACACACACACACACACACACACACACACACACACACACACACACACACACACACACACACACACACACACACACACACACACACACACACACACACACACACACACACACACACACACACACACACACACACACACACACACACACACACACACACACACACACACACACACACACACACACACACACACACACACACACACACACACACACACACACACACACACACACACACACACACACACACACACACACACACACACACACACACACACACACACACACACACACACACACACACACACACACACACACACACACACACACACACACACACACACACACACACACACACACACACACACACACACACACACACACACACACACACACATATATATATATATGTAGCTCTTTTTGAAGTCTTATATATAATATAATTTTTAAATGTTCAATATCACAAAGGAAATCTCATACTAGAGCTAGAGTTAGGCTCTGGTTAATTGTTTTATTTCTTTAATTTCTGTTAGAAGTCTTGTTTAAACAACAAATATTTCAAGTGAATTGGTTTGTGGTTTGTACATCTTTCGAGTATCTCTTAGTACCCATTCTTATGCATGCATTGAATCTATTATTTTTTGTCCAGTACAGTTTGACAAGGGGTACATGTCCTCCCACTTCATTACCAACCAGGAAAGATCTGTTGTGGAGTTTGACAAAGCTAAGGTCCTAGTAACTGATCAAAAGATTTCTACTGTTAAAGAAATTGTTCCTTTACTGGAAAAGACAACCCAATTGAGTATCCCGCTACTAATCATTGCAGAGGATATCTCAAAGCAAGTTCTGGAAACATTAGTGGTGAACAAAATGCAGGGTTTACTTAATGTTGCTGTTGTTAAATGTCCTGGATTTGGAGAGGGAAAGAAAGCTCTTTTGCAAGATATTGCACTCATGACAGGTAAACATATTTAGTGTATGCCAAACTTTAGCCATCTTTCTTACACACATCCAGCTATATAATTATGAGTGAATTTGATGCAAGCACCATTTACTAACATAGCATTTTATGATTACATAAATCTTATTTATCAAAAATATTAATCTGCTAGTTACAAAGATTTTAAGAGAGTTCAATAAAAACCCCAAATAAAAAAGACCTTTCAAGAAAACAGGAAGATCAAGTTATTCACTTCAACTTCCGTAGCTGCTATTAAGGTCTATAAAACGACGTCATTGTAGGTCCTGTGTATCAGACTACTAACATTTCTGCATGAAAATATAACAGTATTTGTTATGCTTCTTCTCATAAGAAAATAATTTGCATTGCAACTTTCAGGTGCTGATTTTCTCTCTGGAGATTTTGGTTTGACCCTTGAAAGTGCAACATCAGATCAACTTGGAATTGCAAGAAGAGTGACAATAACAAGTAATTCAACAACAATAGTCGCTGACCCTTCTACTAAAGCTGAGATTCAGGCAAGAATATTGCAGATCAAGAAGGATCTGGCAGAAACAGAAAATGCATACCTGTCGAGAAAGCTCTCTGAAAGAATTGCCAAGCTTTGCGGTGGAGTTGCCGTAATTAAGGTCTGTGATATGAAAGAGCTACAATATCTGATATCATGTGTGTAGAAAATGTTTTTTTTAAAAATTTATTCATATACGTTTTTTAGTGTTCTTTTTTCATTCCTATATGATTGTTCATTTGTGCTGCAGACTGGACAAAGCTACTTTGCGGTGGAGTTGCCGTAATTAAGGTCTGTGATATGAAAGAGCTACAATATCTGTTTTTTTTAAAATGTTTATTTTAAGGTGTGTAGAAAATGTTTTTTTTTAAAATTTATTCATATACGTTTTTTAGTGTTCTTTTTTCATTCCTATATGATTGTTCATTTGTGCTGCAGACTGGACAAAGCTTATTGTTTGTTGGCCTTCTTTTAACCCATATAGAAAATTTAGTGAATCTTTTCAACTAATGTTCTTTTTCTCAACTTTTTTTTTTCTATTTTTATCATTGCTTTATTATTAAGTGGTGTACCTGTCCCTTAGGTAGGAGCACATACTGAGGTGGAACTTGAAGATCGCAAACTCAGAATTGAGGATGCAAAGAATGCTACATTTGCTGCTATGGAGGAAGGGGTGGTGCCTGGTGGTGGCGCAACATACGTACATCTGTCAGAATTCATTCCTGTCATAAAGAATTCTATGGAAGATACGGATGAGCAGATAGGTGCTGACCTTGTGGCAAAGGTGGGGGTCTCCATTTCTTTCCTTGACTCGCACACACAAACTGGCACATTATTAATGTGCATGCACGCACATGCAGACATGGACACATTTGTTGTTATTTTTGTTTTTGTATTATATTCGGTTGTGCCTTGTAGGCCTGTACCTTTTTTTTATGCAAGTAAGAAGATCTTCCAATGTCTGAACTGCAGGCTCTACTTGCTCCTGCAAAATCAATTGCAACTAATGCAGGGGATGATGGAGAAGTTGTTGTGGAGAAGACTAAAAGTTGTGATTGGAGAGTTGGGTACAATGCAATGAATGGCAGCTATGAAGATCTTCCAGATGCAGGAGTTATAGATCCTTGTAGGGTTTCAAGATGTGCCCTTCAAATTGCAGTCTCCATTGCTGGGGTGGTTCTTACAACTCAAGCCGTATTGGTGGAGAAAACGAGAAAGAAAAAGCCGGCTGTTCCTTTTGTTCCCGGAATAACTCCTCAGTGAATGTAGTCAAGAGAACTAGATGAAAGCTGAGAAATAGGCCACCTGGACTTTTTTATCCCATGCTTTGCAAAGAAGCTTTGGAACTCAAGTACAAGTTGATCTGGATATAATATGAAGATGAAACAAGCTCTTGAAGTTGTGGAAGAGCTAAAAAGACTGTGTTGCATCAGAACTTCAGTCATGAGAGCTTGAAAATCTGCGGTAAAGAGTTTGCAAAGGTGGCAAAGGTCATCCTTGCAGAGTATACACCCAAGTTGCAAACTGTGTTCCTTTCAATCAAGGGTTTGTTCATTATGAGTTTTGAATAGCATGTAATAAACAGTTACCTTAGTTCATATTCGACAAACAGTTGCTTGTACAGTAGTACCTATATTTTCATCCCTTTAGTTCATATGGAATAAACATTTGCTTGAACCTTTGTTAACTTTAAAATACATTGAATAGTATGGTTCCCGAATGAAAGTTCTCTTAGTTTTAGTTGATTATAGCTTTTTTTCCTGGAAAGTTGTTTTGATAATGCTAACTGTTTATCAACTAATTTCTCCCATATTTCTTCAAGAATGTCGCTTTTCCTTTCAATATGTGTAAAAGTTTTTTCTTTGATGAACTTAGGAAACCACTAAGAAAAGGTTGAACTGGTATTTTTTCATGAAAAGCAAACTACGCTACTTGAAAACTCAGCTTCTTCTTCCAGAGGTGGTCTGTCAGTTTTCCTCCACACATTGCACTTGCATCATTGTCTTTGTCCCAACCTCTTTGTCTACTTTCTTGTTGATTAGCAGAGTGATGAGAATATAGGAGCTATTAGGGATGATTTACCAGTGCCTGGAGGACCACATAGAAGATACTGTCACTTCCAAGCCTTTCCCACCCTTTGATAGAACTCTCTCCTCTTAGCAGACCTATCTAAATCCTCCACAACTGCCATCTTCAGATCTGGGTCCACGTCCAGGGTCTCAAATGTTGCAGTTATTTAGAAATTCGGTTTCATCCGATTTGATCTTAGAACCATCTGAGCTTGCAAGTGTGCAGCTTCACAATCTTTGCTTCCTCGTTCATGGCCTTAAATCTCTCCATTAAATAAGGAAGGCAAGAAGACTGCTCCCCTTTGTCCTTGTGGCCCACGTCAAAGGAAAACTCGAACTCTTTTTTCTTGGACAGGGCATTGAGCTTCCATTTGAGCTCAATGCCTACATGTTTGTCCTCAAACTGTTGGATAAACTGCCGTTTTGCCTGCTGAGCTTTTAAATGACTTTCAATTTGGGGCCTAAATTTTTCTTTTCTAAGCCACTTCAGGTTATGAACTTTTTAAAACAGGTCAATGTGAGCCACAGGGATTCCATCCAAATGACCATACATATAACTGTTTAGTCAGATATGGTAACTGAAATGCAAGACAATTGTATTGAAATAACATAAAGCTTTCCTAAATTCAATGCGATTCTTTCTATCTGAGTTGAAATAACATGTTTTTCCGAAAACCATATGCCCAATTGTTTATCTCTTACTAAATAAAATATGTTAATTGTTTGTTTTCACCTTCATCTTCATCTTCCTCCTGATACTCATCTTTCCTGCCGTTTTTCTTTTGCTTTAGCAGTGTGATCAAACCTTGAAGAGCAACTTCAGCCGCCTCACTCTTCATCAGCTGCTCTGCCACTTGTGCAGGAGTGACCTTTGTTTTCTTCAGAAGGCTTTCAATCTCCTCAAACAAAGGGTGCTTCTGTTCACAAGTTCTGAGGTAATTACAAGCCAAAATTTTGAAGCCTTCGTAGGTGCAATATGACATGTGGATGTGCATGTCCATTCGTCCCGAACGCAGCAATGCAGGGTCAAGCTTGCTCTTGTGATTGGTAGTGAACACAACGATTCTCTCCTCTCCACAACTTGACCAAAGCCCATCTGTGAAGTTTAGCAGTCCAGATAGTGTAAGCTGTGTGACAAAAGAAAAGCCAATTAAAATCGCACATCAAAGTCAAGCTTAATATACATAACAGAAATTGCCCATGTTACTAAAGAATCTTTCATTGCAGATACAATTTGTAAACTACTAACCTGATTGCCTTCTGACTCAGGCTTTCTGCTGCCATTAGCATTTTTTCGATCTTGCACCCCCGGCTGGCTACAATCTATATCCTCAATAACAAGGATCGACCTGTTTGATGTTGACAGCAATACTTTTCTCAGTTCCATATCTGTTTTCAAATGTGTGAGTTGCAAATCATAAACATCAAACTTGAGGTAATTAGCCATGGCAGCTATTAGGGATGATTTCCCAGTGCCTGGAGGACCATATAGAAGGTACCCTCGCTTCCAAGCCCTTCCCACACTTTGATAGAACTCTTTCCTCTTAACAAACCTGTCCAAGTCCTCCAAAACCGTTTTCTTCAGCTCTGGTTCCATGGCTACCGTCTGGAATGTTGCGGGGTGTTCGAGATTGATTGCCTCCCATCTTATTTTAAAAGCATCTATTCTCACAAGTGTATGCAGCTTGACAATCTTCCTTTCGTTTTTCATAGCCTCAAATGTCTCTAAAACATAAGGCAAGTACAAATTCATTACCTTTTCCTTGTGCTGCAAGTCAAATACAAGCTCAAAGTATTGCTTTTGCTCTGGCTTGAAAGCTGAGGAAGTGCTAGAACTGCTGGATCTCTTTGACATGGAATTGAATTTCCATTTCAGCTGAACCCCTTCATACATGTCATCAAACTCTTGGTTGTTTGCAAAGTTGACAGTTAAACTAGTCTCTTTCCAAGTTTGTGAAATCTTCAGAATCTGAGTTGAAGGGCTGATCTTGCTCTGCAAGTAAAGCGCAGAAGCATCATAAACGTTATTTCTAGTACTTGTACCATGGTACTCTTCAATTTGCAGGGTCATGGGCTTAAACAGCCAACGTTTGAAGAAGCCATGGAGGATCAACAGAGGAAATCTCAACATGGGCAGTAAGTAGCAGTCCATGGCCTTGAACCAAACAAGCATCAAGTAAACAACCACATTGGAAGCACAAGCTGCAGGTATTTTTTTCAAAATATCCATGGCTGCCCAAAACCCAGTAAATCCTAATTTGAAAAGCCTAAATTAGAAATGATCAAAAGAGAAAGAGATACTTGGGTCTGAAAGGTGTTTCTTTGGTACTGTATCTGTATGGAAGATTGCTTTTGAAGCTCAAAATACTATGAAGAGCAGATGAAGTCTGCAGTCAATGGGGACAATGGGAAGAAGAGAAGAAACTAAAACTTATTTTATGGCTATTTCTAAGTCTACGTCAATAGAATTCTGCCTACTAAATAAAAGCATGTACTATGCTGCAAATGAAAGTTTCATTTCCTTGTCATAGCATATGTTAAATTACATGTAAACACAAATTTTACAGGAATTTAAAAACCGCAAGTGCCATGATGAATATTATTTTAATATTTTCTCATGACCGAACCTCACCATTGATTATTTTCTTTTAAAACTTTTAATAATATGAGCTCCATTTACAATTAAAAATTGAAAACAAATAAATAATATGTTATTTGACATTTGGAAAGGATTTCTTAACTTTTTGCATGAAATCTCCATCAAGATGCTCTTACTTGTCGTTCTCTTGCCCAATCCGATATTTCTTTTGCTTTACCAAAAGCAATTCCCAGAAAATGACAAACAACGAAATGAAAGCACCAAAAAAGGACTAAAAAATCAAAGAAAACAAATAACCATATGAGTTATTTACACTAAGACCCTGTTCGGTAATGTTTTCGGAGAATGTTTTCTAATAATATTTTATGAGAATGAAACAAGAAAACGAATTTGCATTTTTAGGATTCGAAAATGCGTTTAGTAGATTAATTGGAAAACAAATTCAAAAAATGAAAACAGTGAAAACATATATGGTAGTACAATTTGAGAATAATAATACGTGAGTTATTTTATAGGTGCATTTTTCCTAATTTCAGTTATAATTTTTTTTAATTATGATATTTTTAGAGGCTAAAATTATTATCTATATATATAAAGCAAAAGGCAGAGAATGGTGAAATATTCAAAATACCATCAAATAATGAATCCTATTTTTATGGAACACAACTACCCATTATCTTTTTTAATTCTAAAATAGTTTTAAATTTTTTTTTTAAAAAAAAAGCCTCTCGCAGGCGCGGAAACGTGTGCGGAAAGGCTAGTAAACAATAAAAATAAATAAAAGCCCAAAAACTATCTTATCTCCTTTCTTTTTTCCTCCTTTTTCTCCTTTTGTCTCTTTCCTCCTCTTTTCTTCTTCCTTTTCTTCGCATGGCCGTTTCTTTTTTCTCTTTTTCTTCCTCTTTTCTTCTTCGTTTCCTTCCCAAGGCCATTTCTTTTTTCTCCTTTTCTTCCTCTTTTCTTCTTCCTTTCCTTCCTAGGCCGCACCCACTCCTCCTTCCTTCTATGGCATGAATCCCATAAACCCACCCATCTCTCTCTCTCTCTCTAGGGACAGACCCAGGATTTCAAAATGGGGTGGGCTAAATTTACTTTACTTACAAACCTGCTAAAAGGATAGAAAACTCGATGATACGAGCGAATTTCATTGATAACAAAAAAATACACAGAGGGACATAATAAGCCTAACCCCTCAAAATGCATATAGCACATGTACATAGAAACTAGTGAGAAAAAAAGTCAAGAAATAAACATGCAATTCAAATATAAATAACACTTATATAAGTTGCACCTTTCCTAGTCTTCACAAAATTAAAATAATTCATTATTGATTCATTATCTATATTATAAACAAATTCTATTTGATACAAATAAAAACACCAAAATCAATTGCAAATCATATTTGACAATTCAACAAATCAAGCTGAAGGATGGTCTGTTGCGAAGAGCAGAGGTTGGCTAAGCTAAAGGATGGTCTAATGCGCAAGAGACAATTATTTGTAGGGTTAATTAATGGGATTTTATTTAGGTAGGATGGGGGTATCTTGGGCTTGCTTGGGTGGTCTAGGGTATTAATTTGAGCTATAAAATATCAAGTGACCTGGGCTATAGCCCACTTTAGCCAGCCTATAGGACCCTCTCTCTCTCTCTCTCTCTCTCTCTCTCTCTCTCTCTCTCTCCCCGGTGTTTCGCGTGCTGCTACTTACTCTCGAAGGTTCATGCATCTCTCTCTCTCTCTCTCTCTCTCTCTCTCTTTCTCTCTCGTTCCACTAATTAATGGTTGTGGTGGTTTAATTGGGTGTTGATGGTGTTGAGCTGGGTATGTGGTGGTTCGATTGGGTGATAATGGTGGTTGAGTTGGGTATGTGGTGGTTCTTCTTCCTGTCTCTGTTTTGTTTTTCTTTTCTTCTTCCTCTGTATTTTTTTTCCTAGTTTGCAGATTTGTGTGATTTGGAGTCAGATAAGATGGGTGTTGTTCCTATTGGTGGATTTATCGATTGTCAAGAAAGAGAGCTAAAATTGTTGATGGGATGCATTCTTGTGTCTTCAGAAAACACTGAAAACAACTTTTTATCGTTTTCAACTTTTGTTCACAAAGTTAGATTTGTTTTTAGAAAACGTTTTGTGAGGGAAAACAAAAACGATGCCCCGAACGCGTATTTGCGAAAAACAGGAAACAAAAACAGAAAATGAGCTCTAAAAACATTATCGAACGAGCCCTAACATTCGGATTTTTTTATAAAATTCTTTGAGGTTTCATAAATTATAAGAACACCCCCTGATTGTTTTCACAAAACTCTTTTTTTATAATTGTTTGTCCAAAATTTGATGATTTTACATTAAAAATTTCTCCAAATGATAAAGTTAGCCTTTGAGATTAGATTGCACATACATTCATTGAGGTTGATTTTGTCATTTGCTAGTAACTTGTGTTCCTAGCGACTTAATTAAAACCAATTTCAAGTCTCTACACGTGGAAAACAAGAATGGTACCATCTTTCACCTAAAGGAATAATCTTATACTAGGCTTAAGATTTTATAACATTTAGGTATTCATAATAAATATTAAATAAGGAAAAATTATATTAATAAATAATTAATGTGTAGTATGAATATCTCTTTAAAGTAATAATATATATATATATATATATATATATAGTTTTTATAAAAAATATAGGTTCTCACACGTTGTGTCGCGGCTCTTGAGCCTTGAGGTTTGGAGTTGTGGGATTATGTATCCCACATTTTTGGTAGGATAAATTATCCTACTTATACAAATGCACATAATGAAATTGTAATGGGATTATATTTTATTCTAATCACATTCATTTTAATATAATTCTACTACTAATCCTACCCACCAAACAAGATGTAATGGTTTTGAGCAAATGGATAGTTAATCTTCATCATGTGTCTAATGAAATTGAAACCCACTTGAACTTTTTTTTTTATTTCCTATTTTTCCGTTTGGGTTGTTACCACCGTCCAAAAAATCTTCCGACCCATGGATGGATTAGAGCTTGTCAAATTGGTCCAACTTTGAAGCGGGCTCGGGCTTCAAGGACTTAGTATCAAGTTGGGTCAACCCGACCCATTTTATCAAAGCCCAATTAGAACCCATAATACGTTATCACATAAGCAAATTTTATAATCCTATAATTATCTTAACTGTGAAATACCCAAATGAGGCAACTTATTTTATGACTACCATCATAATATTGAAGGCCAGAAAGACAATAATCATTATTATAAAAATATTTAAAATTGATTTCTGCAGTTTTAGCATCCTACAATCCACACACTCACCCTAAAATAGTGAAAAAAAACATAAAATAAATATGTAATGATGGTTGCTTAATGTCCAAGCCAAGTATGTCTTCCACCTTATAAATGACAAGGAGTGCATCCTTCTAAATATTATACCCACATCATCAAGCAAGTCAAGCTATTCATATAGAATATAATAAAATAAATTTAATATATATGTGGCAATAATAATATCATGGGTGCCACTAAGCTATACATTTTAGGTCCAATCATTTGTATTGTAGGTACTCAAAATCAAGTGATTGCTATTCAAAATGTACCTTAAAAGTAAAATGATTCACATTTCTAACTATTAATTTTTAAATACAAAGAGGGATTTAAAAAAAAAATAATAATAAATAAAATAATATATATATATATATATATATATATATATATATGGCCTCATATTGTTACCCTATGATGTAATAATTTGAATTTGAAACAAGTTATTATATGGCTTCGTATAATTGGTCAGGCAGAGATAGTGGCTCATGCAATTACATCAAACAGGGCCTAAGCTACCTCATATTTCAATTTTTTGTTTTTGTTTTTGGAGTAGTTCTACTTTAAATATATCATTTATCAATATTGAATATGTAAAACACAAATAATTTGATTTTTCACAATAAACTTGTTTTTCTTTTATATAAACAATATTGGAGGAGGATAGTTTTCTAACACACACAGTTAAGGTGTTATGAAGGTTCGAACTAAAACTAAGATAAATGGTTTGCAAAACCAAGTCCTTTCCACTCTCTGTTGACAATAAATTTATATATATATAAGGATTTTGTTAGCATTTTCAAAACTCACACGACTGCAAAAGGAAGTCGAGGGTGACATTAAATTCGGATTTGTAATGGCAAGAAAAAAAAGGTTAAAAAACAGAAAAAGAAAGGGAAAACAGTGTTATTTTCTTCTTCTTTTGTTCTACTCTCTTTCGCCGTTTGAGAAAGTAAAAAGAAAAGAAACCGACCACGGGCCACGCCCGCCTGTCTTAAAACTTTCTAACTAATTAAACAAATTACCATTTTCTTTTTATTATAAATATATATTAAACCAAATTCCCAGCTCTCCCACAAAACAGACCACTCTCTCTCTCTCTCTCTCTCTCTCTCATTCATTCTCATATGGTGCAGCTGCTTCACAAATTAGAATTCACAACCTAAAGGCAGTATAGAGAGTCAGATCTGAGCTTCATGATCTTCAACTACCTCAATTTGCTCTACGTTTCAACTTCGAAGCTTTGACTTGTAGGTTACTACTACTCTCTCTCTCTCTCTCTCTCTCTCTTTGTTGCTCCCTGTACTTGCTCCGTTTGTCTCCCTAGAAAATGTGGGAAAGAAACAAGGGAACACAGTCTTCGAAACTACGAAAGAATTAACAATGCTTACAATTTTCGCTTCCTTGAGTTGAGTGTACAATCTCTCATTCTCTGAGCAGCCAAATGGGGAATTTTTTTTTGTTTGCATTCTGATTCATGTGGTTGCTACAGTGTTTGTTTGGTAGAATTACTTGTTTTGGATATATTTGCTTTTTACATAATGCTGCTAATTTGGAAATGGTCCAAACTATGAAATGCTCTACATATAGGAAATGGTTGTTCTCTAATTTTACTAATTTACTAGTTCAAACTCAATTCATTGGAGGTCTTTCCCGGCCAGTTTTTCTAGAAGGAAATAGTTTATTACCAGAACTTCAGATGGTTTCTTGCATATAGTAATTTCAAATTAATCTCAAATGTATTAAATTTAGTTATTTTCAATGCATTCTATGATTATATCTAATGTTTTCTTAGTTTTTCTGACTAATTTAACATTGATATCAAATTTAAATCCTTGCTTACTCTTATAGTATCTTGACTAAATGCAGAATTGTCTTGATTACTTACCAATGGCAAGATCGAGACAACATTTCTCTAGCCAAGATTCCTCACTGTCACCGACTTCAGTGAGATCACGAGAATGGGAGGGTCCATCAAGATGGACTGAGTACTTGGGTCCAGAAACAACTTCTCCAATGAGTTTGAGGAGCTCCAGGAATGCAGGTCCTGATGTCCATAGTTCAGGCGGGTCCCACAAAGGATTGAACATGCAGTGGGTAGTTCAACTAATTGAAGTGGCAGAAGGTCTTATGGCTAAAATATATAGGTTGAACCAAATTTTGGATTACCCGGATCCAGTTGGCCATGTATTTTCAGAAGCATTTTGGAAAGCCGGTGTGTTTCCTAACCATCCAAGAATTTGCTTGTTACTCTCAAAGAAGTTCCCTGAACATTATAGCAAGTTGCAGCTTGACCGCGTAAGAATTGATTTGTTTTCATTTAAATATTAGGTATTCTTATGGTAGTCAGCGTTACTGAGCTAGCTGAATATTGTTAATATGGAATAATATTGATGCAGATTGATAAGGTTGCTTGGGATGCCTTACATGATAATGCAGAACTTCATTTACAAAGCTTGGAACCATGGATCCAGGTACGGAGTTAGTATTTCCATTTACTTTTATTCTTCCATTGTCTGAATATTCTATATAAAGCTTCTATAGAACTATTAGTTTTCCGGTGTCTAATGTTTTTGGTGCTAAATTAAGCTCATGGTAGTTCTTGTCAGTGTCTACATTTACTCGTTTCATCTATCTTTTATAAAGGTTTAGGTATGAACTATTAGTTCATTAGTTATTATTGACATATAAAAGGCTAAAACCTAAGTCTAAATTTGTGGCAAGTTTGTCAACAACAATTTGATAAATGGCCAGTCCAGGAGTTATTGCATGAATGATTATAAGCATTTATTCTTGTTGTTGGGGTGGTGGTGGTGCTTTTGATTTGAGAGATGGTCTGCAAATCACTAGCTCGCTTCCCATTTATAGATTTGAAAATGACCATATTTTAGATGGAGTCATTTAATAGCTTTTCTTTTGCATGAATCAGCTACTTCTTGACTTGATGGCTTTTCGAGAACAAGCTCTACGACTTATATTGGATCTGAGCAGTACAGTTATTACCTTGTTGGTGAGTCTCATGATCATTTATTTTACCTCTATGCATTATAGGTTATGGCTGGAACAATGATATTGACACTTTTTTCTCTATTTCAACTCTATATATGATGCCACACAAATTGATATCCAGAAGCATAAAATTGATGTCATAAAGTTATGGTTTTCTGATATCTCTGTCCTCATACACTCACTGATACATGGTGAACGTGTAGATCGAGAAAGTTGAATAAATATTGTTTCCTGTTATGTAAACGAATGGGATTGTTAACAACATGTTAGTCTAATTAGTAAATGTCACGATACTTGTGGAAATCAGATGTATAGTGCTTGTTAGAAGCAGCCATATGAAGATAGAAGTACATGAAAATGATCATGTAAATATAGGTTTGTAATGAAAAGTTTCAATTCAATTTTTCAGACACAAGAGGAGCCTCAATGTCTATCTTGCACCTTTTTTTTTGTGATAGTAACAAACATAATGTTTCAATGTAACTGATTTGATGACATACAGCAGGGATGAATTGATAAAATGCTTCCCAATATATACTTTTACTTTATTAGGCAGTGAACATGTAAATTAAGGTCACATTTTACAAGGAATTTTGACAGAATAGAATAATGTTTGCATTATTTCCTTACATATTCTAGATGACTTTGTTGTTTAAAACACTAAGGTTTCTACATGGCATCTCTAATAACTTGGCGCAGTATTTTGCAGCCCCATCAGAACTCGCTTATACTACATGCATTTATGGATCTCTTTTGCTCCTTTGTCCGCGTTAACCTTTTCTCTGAGAAGGTAAGTTAATTTCTGTTCTTCTCTTCTTTTTTTTTTCAGTATCTGTTTCTTGTCACTGTCTATTTTTTTGAGAACTTAATTGCTTTGTCTTAATGGGGCATGCATATAAGTTAATTCCTGTACTTGATGTTCTGCTAACACTATGCTATAACAGATGCCAAGGAAAATGATGCTACAAATGTATAACCTTTTGCATTCCATGTCCAGAAACGACCGAGATTGTGATTTTTATCATCGGTAGGATCTATTTTTAGTTATAAGTTACTTGTTTTTGCTGCATGTCATTCTTGTATTCATTCAATTTACTTATGTATTGCTTTGGTTTTGTTGTAATAGCATTAACCTCTAAAGAAGTCCATGAAAATGTTTACGCCCTAACTGAATGTTGAAATCTCTATTCTTATTGTTCCTGCTTAAACCATTAGACCTTATGTTTTTGTTTCTGTTGATAATAGGTTGGTTCAGTTTATAGACAGTTATGATCCACCATTGAAAGGATTAAAAGAAGACCTAAATTTTGTGAGCCCACGTATTGGAGAGGTTAGTTTGTGCTTTAATTTATCAATGTTGTTTTGATAATTATGTTTTTGTTGCTGGGGCATGAAGAGGAGGCCCCGAGGTCAAATCCCCTCCTCGAGTGTCATAATTGATAACAAAAAGTATAGTTTTGCTTTTCATTGATGACATTGTAACATATGAATTGTGCCTCTTAAGTAGTCTTTTCAGAAGGATCTCACGTAGTATTTGGGAGTTTTTCATTACCTTGAAATCAATATCCATGTGGATTAGGTACACTAGTTTTTTTTGGCAATTTTAGTAGAAGTTTTAAGGGAGTTTCACTAAAACACCCAAAATGGGGGCTGAAATTATAAAAAAACCCAACACCCAAAACACTTTATAAACACACCCAAAACCCATCCTTACACACACTCAAAACCCATTTATAAACACACCCAAAAAATATACAATTGTTGATTTTGGGTGTGTTTCTATGTTTAAATAGTGTTTGGGTTTTTTTTTTATAAATACATGTCTAGGATTGGGTTTATTTATAAATTTGTAAAGTTTTAATTGTCAAAATGGAAAAGAAATACATTATATGAAATTGGAAATTGGAAATCTTAATAAACTACTAGTCTGATGGTGTTTGTTCCACATCCTTATTCCTCTATCAATCTCTGAGCAGCGGATAAAAAATGCAAAGGAACCTTTAGTGGGTTTGTGAGGGGTTAGAATCATTAGATCTTATTTGCTATTTGATACAAGGAATTCATGTTGAGAAACTACGTGGCATGAAATATCACCTATTTGACTTTTGAAGTTTAATCAGTCATATTTGAAGTTTGAACAACCATTAATTTAGAAAATTATGTTAATAATATTTAGTGTAGAAAATTTATTACCACTAAATTTCATTTTTCTTTTCCAGGTGCTAGAGGCTGTGGGTCCTATTATTTTTCTGTCAACTGATACAAGAAAGCTCAGAAATGAGGGTTTTTTAAGTCCATATCATCCTCGATATCCAGACATACTTACAAATTCTGCCCACCCCTTGGTAGACATCTTCGCTATTATTAATTTTAAAACTGGCCAAAATCTGCTAAATTGTTTCTCCTTTTTATATTGTTAATCTGAATGGTTTGTTAGAGTGGTGCTATTGCAAACTGCATTATATGGTTAATGTTATGTTCCATTTGCAGAGAGCTCAGGATCTAGCAAACGTCACCTCTTATCGTGAATGGGTATTATTTGGGTATCTTGTTTGTCCTGATGAGCTTCTTCGTGTCACTAGCATTGATATTGCTCTGGTAAACCTTACACTGTTCATGATTTCTAATTATTCTTGCCAATTTTATATTGAATTTGAATTGAACAATCTTAAATGGAATAGAAGACATGCATATTTTTGGCATTTGCCTTATGAGTTCTATTTTTATATGTAGGTAGGTGCTTTTTGTTATATTTATCATGCATAATGTGTTTGGATTTTTCCTTATTTTTATTTCTCTGTCATGACTTTCAGGTCGTATTGAAAGAAAATCTGGTTCTTACATTGTTCAGGGATGAGGTGATTTTTGCTGCCTGTTTTCTGTCGTTCAAACTACTTCCATCATTTTCAGTAGCTTATTGTTGTAACTTAAACATGCAGTATATACTTTTGCATGAGGATTATCAACTATATGTCCTGCCACGAATTTTAGAATCAAAGAAGATGGCAAAGTCTGGTCGTACGAAGCAAAAAGAAGCAGATCTGGAGTATAGTGTAGCAAAGCAAGTTGAGAAAATGATAAGGTACGTACATAAATCAAAGTCTAAATATGAAAAGCTGAACTTGGAACTTACCAGAAATAAGAATGAGAGAAAAGTAACACATTTAATAGTTCTGTGCACAAAGTTTTAAAAAAAAAAAATCTAGTTGCCAGCTGAAGTAGTCTGCCCAAATTTGTTGCAAGATGACCTTTGAATCCTTGATGTTGTTTTGCTTATGCAAGTGGTGTCAAGGTGGAGTGTTTTGCATAATGGACATAACAATGTAGATCAAGCCAAACACAAGAAGTAACACACTAGTAGTTCCAAACTTATCATGTTAATGTATCCATGTGGTGTCCCATATCATTCAATACTTCATAATATACCTGGTGTAATAATGATATAGAAATTCTCATTTGCATGTATCCCATGAGGGCATATCCGTATTCAGGTTTCAAATATCCATCAGTAACCCTTAGTTCTCATCAAATGAATTTCTTTATGCTTGATGATGTTTGTGGCACCATGTGCATTGAATATAATAAAATGGTCACTTGATGCAGTGAAGTGCATGAGCAAGCATTACTCTCGTGTGATGCCATTCATCGTGAGAGGAGAATATTGTTAAAGCAAGAGATTGGAAGAATGGTGCTTTTCTTCACTGATCAGCCTAGTTTGTTGGCTCCAAACATACAGGTACATTGTCATTGCAGTTTCTTTGTACGAAGTGGTTACATGTGTTCCTTGTAATGTGTATTCTGGAAGGGGTGGAAATTATTGGATTTTTCAGGAAACATTTTCAGGCATTGGAAAAACCTTAGAGAATCTCCTATTAACACATCAAGTTATAAATGACAAGTTGGCATAAATTTACTCAGGAGATGGATGTTTACCATAACAACAGATTCTTGTTAATTTACTAAGCATATGAAGTCTCAAAAGACTTCTTTCGAGGATGAAAAAGTTTTGTAGTTATGTAAGTTATTTTTACTAGTGATTTTTTGGTTTATTTCGTCTTAAGTTCCTTTCCTGGGTGAATTTTGTAGAAGTTTACCCGAAATAATAAAAGGAAAGGAAAATCAACAGTTTCTACTTGCTTCAAATATTTGATCTGCTATGTGTGTATGATTACGGTTTTGAATGCCCCATTTCTTTCATGTCCTACTCCTACTCCGTTGACAATCAGTTATAACTTTTTACTGAACTTTATCTTAATAAATAATTTTTTTCTTAAAAACAAACTTTATCTTGATTCCTCACTTGAGGAGGTAGGAGATGGGTAGTGACATACTTATGTAAATTGATGAAAACTTTTGCAGCAATTTCAGAACTTGTAGTCTGTATTTTTTCTTGTTTGAAAAGGTCGGGTTTGAGTCATAAATCACAGTGCTCCCTTATTCTTCTGAACTCTGGTTAGTGCCGACTGCTGATGCCTATGGAGCCTTTTATCCTAAAATGCTTGAAATCAGTTAATACATTCACAATTGGATAAGTTAAAAACTGGAGAGTCAGTCTTGAAAGTGTGATATGAAGAAACTCTTCAACCAATCAGTTGTGGTGATAATTTTCTCCATTGGTTTTTCTTCTCTATCTGTCGATGACCGCTGGGTTTTGTCCACAAAGTTTTTCACGATGATACTCTCTAGTGCTTATTGATAATATTATGATTATCTGATGTATCCTACAGATGGTATTCTCTGCCTTGGCTTTTGCTCAATGTGAGGTAATCTGGTATTTCCAACATGTTGGAATTGCGTCATCAAAATCTAAAACCACTCGAATTGTACCAGTTGACATAGTAAGCCATGTTTGCCCATACCTGTTGAGATCCGTCATGATAAATTTCTTATCCTGGTATGTTCAACCTGATAACGAAGTGCTTGATTTCAACTTTGTGCTTTTCTTTTGTTTGCAGGACCCGAGTGATCCAACTATCGGGTTCTTATTAGATGGAATGGACCATCTATGCTGTTTAGTACGCAAGTACATTGCTGGTTAGTTTGAACTTAATATGTGCCATGTCATTTTTCTCAATAGTGGAAATATTTTTTTTTTGAATAGAAACTTATATATTCAAATAAGAAACAAGAAACACAAAACAGGTGGATAAGGAATCCACATAGTAAAAACAAGGAGCAAACAGAAGCACCCACAAACAACAGGCCTAAACAGAAACAACAGCCAAGGAGAAAACAGAAATACAGAAGCAAGCGAAAAAACTAGGAAAGCATCACTTCACTGCCACACACAAATCCTGACTTATAACAGAGGCAGACAAATCCTTAAAAACATTGGTGACGGACGCCCATAGAGCCGCCCAAAATTTCACTCTATCCCAAAGCTCATCCACCCCAACCCCCTTATAGTCCTCGAAAATCCTTCTGTTCCGCTCTAACCAGATATTCCAGAAAATTGCATGTAATAAGCAGCCCCAAAGAACTTTAGCCTTTCTCCCCTTACCCAGCGCAACAAAATTGGAAGAAAGTAACTGAAAACAACCTTTAGGGATGACCCAGACAGCTCCAACTTCCTTCAGCAATAACCACCATATCTCAATTGAATAAGGGCAATGTATGAACAAATGATCCACACACTCCCCATCTGAGTTACATAACACGCACCAGTGGGGGGATAAACACATAAAAGGGCGGTGCTGCTGCATAAGGTCACAAGTGTTAACTTTTCCAATAGCAACTTGCCAAACGAGAATTTTGACCTTTGGGGGAGTTTTGTTTTTCCAGATTTGATTGTACGGAGGAAAAACCTCCACAGACCCGTTATCTTGAATGAAGGAATAGAAGGAATGGCAAGAGAACATCCCTGAATGATCTAGCTTCCATCTTCTGTAATCCATCCTAGAAGGGTTAAGTCTAACTTCTTCCAGGAGGACCAACAGCCTAGTCACCTCATCAAATTCCCCCACTGTGAGATTTCTTCTGAACCCCAAATCCCAATTGTGAGGAAACACTCCGTGCCTCACAATTGTAGAAATGTTGGCATTCTGTTTGCTGGACAGATTGAAAAGTCTGGGAAAAACCTCTTTGAGAACTCCACCCCTACACCAATCATCCTCCCAAAATCTCACCTTTTCACCACTTCCCACCACAAGATCACACCCAAGAAGAAACACAGGGTAACCACTAGAAATATTATTCCATGGGTTACGACAAGAACTACGCGACAGGACTATCGCATTCCAACCATTGGCGCTCTCCCCATAAATGCTACTTATCACTTTGTGCCAAAGAGAATCAGGTTCCTTGGGAAACCGCCACAGCCATTTGGCACACAACGCCTTGTTTCTTGAATTTAACGATCCCACCCCTAAGCCTCCGTTGCTTTTTAATCTTCCAACAACCTCCCACTTAACCAAATGAGAGGTCTTCCCATCGTCCATGCCCTCCCACAAGAAGTCTCTCATCAGCTTCTCAACATACTTCACAATACGAGATGGCATTTTGAAGAGAGACATGTAATAAATGGGAATGCTGCTCAAGACGGCCTGAATCAAAGTTAGCCTACCTCCTTTGGATAAACAAGCCTTTTTCCATTTTTGCAGCCTTTTCTCAACCCTCTCCACAACCGGATCCCAAAAACTGAGAATTCTGGGGTTCCCACCAAGGGGGAGACCCAAGTACAAAGTAGGCCAGACTCCCAACTCGCAGCCCCAAGCCTCAGCCAGCCCAGACACGACCCCTTCATTGTGGTTAATGCCTATTAACGAACATTTCTCCTTATTAATTCTCATACCTGAAATGAAACAGAACAACTCAAGCATTTGAAGAAGATTATGCCAATACTCCAACTTGTCCCCGATAAAGAACATCGTGTCGTCGGCAAATTGGAGGTGAGAAACCTCCACCAAATCATGGCCAACAACAAGACCGTGAAACACATCCAAATCCTGAGCTTTCTCAAGGATGCGGCTGAGCACGTCAATCACCAATAAGAAAAGAAAAGGAGAAAGAGGGTCCCCTTGTCTCAACCCTCTAGATGCCTTAAACTTGCCTCTAGGTCTGCCATTGATCATAATCGAAAAATTAGCCGATTCAAGACAACCTCTAATCCAGCTTCTCCACCTGCCCCCAAACCCTTTTCTGACCATAACATCATCCACAAATATGATAATTTATATATATAGAAATCTTTATGTATGTTTAAATTATTACTTCAGCGAGAATGCAGAACCCAAAAATGTAACGACATATGCTCTTTGACACTTGACCAATATTCAACGCATATAAACTTGGAATTTGTATGTGATTTTAATTGAAAATGGATGTGTCGAACATTGTTTTATTACTGCAGTAAGAGATTTCTTCTAAAAATAAAGTGTACTTTATTTTTATGCTTTGCGAACTTATATGCAGCGATTCGAGGTTATGCACTATCATACCTTTCTTCTTGTGCTGGTAGAATCCGGTATTTGTTGAATACCCCTGGGATGGTGGCTCTTGACTTAGATTCAAGCTTGAAAGGTCTTTTCCAGCAGATTGTTCAGCAGCTTGAAAACATACCAAAACCACAGGGTGAAAATGTATCTGCCATTACATGTGATCTATCTGTAAGAAATCTGCAGACTATGCTCTATTTTCTTTAGAATAAATCTCCCGAGGTCTTTGGATGCCAAATAGATGTTTCCTGTAGATTAAAATTATTACTTCAGTGAGAATGCAGAACCCAAAAATGTAACGACAAATGCTCTTTGACACTTGACCAATATTCAACGCATATAAACTTGGAATTTGTATGTGATTTTAATTGAAAATGGATGTGTCAAACATTGTTTTATTACTGCAGTAAGAGATTTCTTCTAAAAATAAAGTGTACTTTATTTTTATGCTTTGCGAACTTATATGCAGCGATTCGAGGTTATGCACTATCATACCTTTCTTCTTGTGCTGGTAGAATCCGGTATTTGTTGAATACCCCTGGGATGGTGGCTCTTGACTTAGATTCAAGCTTGAAAGGTCTTTTCCAGCAGATTGTTCAGCAGCTTGAAAACATACCAAAACCACAGGGTGAAAATGTATCTGCCATTACATGTGATCTATCTGTAAGAAATCTGCAGACTATGCTCTATTTTCTTTAGAATAAATCTCCCGAGGTCTTTGGATGCCAAATAGATGTTTCCTGTAGATTCTGATATATATATTTGCCTGTGTTTATTTGGCACCTCTCTTGCATATAGAGTTTCTCATTTCTTATTTCATCACTTTAATTTACATCTAGGTGCTAAAATAGCTGTAGATTACTAGACTGATATGAACTGTCTAAGGATTATAAATTGTGTTTAGAGGAAATTATTTTAGAGATAGTCATGGATATGTCAGTAGGCATTGGTTGGAAGCATTTACTGTCTCTGTCCCTCTTGTTGGCAAGAGGAAGATGTTGTGTGTATGTGTAATGTACACTTTAATTCTACGTTTTTGTTGTATAAATAAACTACTTGATTAGAGAATAGCTGGAATTGTAAAACATGTAGCCTTATTTCTTTTTGTGGTGGGGAGTGGAGTTAATTAATTAAATGGGCTTCAATTATGTTAATTAATCAGAAGTGCTAGTCCCACATGTCCAACAAATTTCTACAAAACCTTATCAGAGTTTTAAGCTACATCAGATTTTCTTTTAATTAAAAAATTTTAAAATATACTTTATGCAATCAAGTCTATTTACTTTTAGTTGTTTTATTTCATAGCATAGTGCCTAACTCATCCCCCATTGTATTGCTCTATATAAATAATTGTTCTCAATATTGTACTCATTGCTCCAGTATCCTAGTTCTCAATTTACATAGGAGTGTTAATTTTGTGATTTCTACTCAGGAATTCCGAAAGGATTGGTTATCAATATTGATGATAGTCACATCTTCCCGATCATCTATAAACATAAGACATTTGGAGAAAGCTACAGTTTCTACAGGGAAAGAAGGCTTATTATCGGAAGGAAATGCTGCATACAATTGGTCGAGGTGCTCTTTCTGACTTAGTTTTGACCGTTGTGATGGATTTTGTAGTCATCATTGCAGTTAGTAATACTTACGAGTTACAACTGTATGTAACAATTGGGAAAAGTGTTCATTAAAAATTTTATTGGTGAGTAATAGAGGCCATTTCTAAGTGATTCCTTTGATTCTGAAGTGCCGTTAGTCATAGGACATATGAGTCTTCTAGGATATTTAAAGGAAAAAAAGAAGGTAATTGTCATTTTTATTACGTTACCTTAGGATTCAGGATAGCACAATGTTTTACCTGAAAAGTCTCACAAGAAGTTCCTTTGATTCTGAAGTGCCGTTAGTCATAGGACATATGAGTCTTCTAGGATATTTAAAGGAAAAACAAGAAGGTAATTGTCATTTTTATTACGTTACCTTAGGATTCAGGATAGCACAATGTTTTACCTGAAAAGTCTCACAAGAAGTTAAATGAAGATCTAATTGACTATGGTCAATTGTGTTGAGCATAATATGATCATAATAGTTTCTTAGTTAATACTTGAAATATCTGTTAAGCAATTGCTGAAGTAAATAAAATGCTTTCATCTCCAACGTTCATTATTAGATTAAAACATGGCTGCATATGCATTTGAATTTGTCATAGTGACAATAATAGCACATACGTATCTGTTTCAAATCAGATGTGTTGACGAACTGGAATCTCAATTATCGAAGCATGCGAGCCTTAAGAAGTTGTATTTCTACCATCAGCACCTTACAGCAGTAAGTTCCTCATTAGCTGTAATTGGTTTGCTAGCCCCCCTTTAGTTAACCAAAAACTTGAGACAAGTTAAAATTGATTTTCTATTTTATCTTTAAATAGGTCTTCAGGAACACTATGTTTGGCCCAGAAGGTCGTCCACAGCATTGCTGTGCATGGCTTGGTGTTGCAAGTAGTTTTCCGGAGTGTGCCTCTCCCATTGTTCCAGAAGAGGTGATCCATAAACTCAAGTTCCTCAACCTGCCCTTAAAATTTTCCAGACATATCTACGTGTCACAACATGCATTATTTATTCTTTAAATAAAGTTGCATGCATAACTGTTTTCTTTTCTTAAGTTATTTATAGAAAGTGATAATGAGCCTTTGTTTGAGCTTTTTTTTTTCCTTCAAGATTCCAGGTTGATAAAGATGCTTTTATCATCTTTTACTGGGAAGATGAAAATAACATTTTACCCCGAAGTTATTGATTAGATAAGACAATTGGGAGTTCATTTTACTGAAACCTCATGATGCTTCAGCATGCACATGGATGCATGAGACCAGAAATGAAATGACTCTGCTTAACTCCTTTTGAAAGCAGGTAACTAAAATTGGCAGGGATGCAGTCCTTTATGTTGAATCTCTCATTGAATCAATAATGGGAGGACTGGAGGGACTAATCAACATCCTTGATTCTGAAGGAGGATTTGGTGCCCTTGAGATCCAGGTAATCACTTTTATCTGATTTAATGTTGTAACACACGGAAATAAGAAACAGTTGCCATCAGTTATATTTACAAAACTGATTTTGTGAAAATATTCAGCTTCTTCCAGAGCAGGCAGCGTATTATATGAATTATGCATCAAGAGTATCGATTCCTTCAGCTAAATCTCCAAAGGGACCATCTGGTTTTTCTTTTCCTGGTCAGGAGAGTCATCCTGAAAATAATAGTTCTATTAAAATGTAAGTCATTAGTCATCTTAGTTTCATGCAGAATATGTTTTGCATTGCACTCTTTTAAAGTCCAATATTGACACAGCTAACAGTGCCTTTGTTTTTTCTTGGTAATGGCAGGTTAGAAGCTGCGGTGCAGAGACTGACCAATCTATGCTCAGTTTTGAATGATATGGAGCCAATATGTGTTCTAAACCATGTTTTTGTCTTAAGGGAGGTAAGGCATTCTCTTTTTTCTTCAACCACAAGATGATGCAATTCTTGCATTTTTCTGAGGTATACCAATCATTTTTTACAGTACATGAGAGAATGCATCCTTGGGAACCTTAGGAGAAGATTGCTTTCAGCACTGAAAACTGATAATGATCTCCAACGGCCTTCTGTTCTGGAGTCACTTATTCGCAGACACATAAGCATCATCCATCTGGCAGAGCAGCACATTAGCATGGACCTAACTCAGGGTATTCGAGAAGTTCTGCTCTCAGAGGCCTTCTCAGGACCAGTTTCTTCTTTACATTTGTTTGACAAGCCAGCAGAGCAACACACCGGATCAGCCACTGAGGCTGTTTGCAACTGGTACATCGAAAATATAATCAAGGATATATCTGGTGCCGGAATCCTTTTTGCTCCAATTCACAAATGCTTCAAGAGCACAAGGCCTGTTGGCGGATATTTTGCTGATTCAGTCACTGATCTTAAAGAACTGAAGGCCTTTGTTCGGATTTTTGGTGGCTATGGAGTTGACAGGCTAGACAGAATGCTGAAAGAACACACTGCTGCACTTTTAAATTGTATTGACACATCATTGAGATCAAACCGTGAAGTGCTAGAAGCAGTTTCTGGCAGCCTTCATTCTGGTGACCGAACAGAAAGAGAGGCATCAATAAAGCAGATAGTCGATATAGACACCGTGATTGGGTTTTGCGTTCAAGCTGGGCTGGCCTTGGCTTTTGATAGACTTCTAGCTGAAGCTTCTGGAGCTGTGCTCTTAGAAGGTGCGCCCTTGATACATTCATTATTGACTGGGATAGCTAAGCATATACCTGAAGAAATACCTGAAAAGATAGAAATCAGGAGATTGAAAAGTGTGACAAACAATTTTGGTGTAGTCTACGATCATGATTCTCAATGGGTGAGATTGATCTTAGAAGAGGTTGGAGGTGCCAATGATGGTTCATGGAGCTTCTTGCCTTATTTATTTGCTACCTTCATGACATCTAATATTTGGAATACCACTGCCTTCAATGTGGACACGGGGGGCTTCAATAACAATATCCATTGCTTGGCAAGGTGGGCTTGCATTTACTTTTACCATAAAATAGAACTATATTTTATGCTAGATACTTCTTAATACAAGATGGAAATTTTTTTTTCTTTAAAGTTACTAAGGGCAAAATGATCCAAACCTATACCTACCCAGTAGTGCTTAGTTCAATTGGTATATATTTGTTTATGTAATTTCTTGATTCTTCCGTGTTCATTGATTGAGAAATAAAATGTTTTTGGTCTTTTTGAGAAATGTATTAATGCCTGAACTATATTTTATGCTAGATACTTCTTAATACAAGATGGAAATTTTTTTTTCTTTAAAGTTACTAAAGGCAAAATGATCCAAACCTATACCTACCCAGTAGTGCTTAGTTCAATTGGTATATATTTGTTTATGTAATTTCTTGATTCTTCCGTGTTCATTGATTGAGAAATAAAATGTTTTTGGTCTTTTTGAGAAATGTATTAATGCCTATCACGAATAAATTTTGTTTGCAGGTGCATTAGTGCTGTAATTGCAGGAAGCGAGTTTGTTAGACTGGAACGTGAGCATCAGCAAAGACAATCTCTCTCAAATGGACATGCTGTTGATACAGGGGACCTTGAAAGTCAAAGTCGTTTGTCAGCTGAAGCAAGCATAAAATCCTCAATGCAGCTCTTTGTCAAATTCTCTGCAGGCATTATATTGGATTCATGGAGTGAAGCTAACAGGTACACTGATTTATCTTTACAGAAATGGTCATGCAAGCTGCTAATGATTTCAAAATTCATGGTGTCATTGACTGTCAAAATTCTCAATTCTCCTACTTAACCATGTGCAAGCTGCTAATGATTTCAACTGTTCTTCACAGATCTCATCTTGTAGCACAGCTAATTTTCCTAGACCAACTTTGTGAGATATCACCTTATCTTCCAAGAAGCTCTCTCGAACCCCATGTTCCGTATGCCATTCTCCGTTCGATATACAGCCAGTATTATGAAAATTCTCCATCTACGCCACTCGCATTACTAAGTGGTTCACCTCGCCATTCACCTGCTGCATCACTCACGCATTCATCTCCTGTAGTACGACAGCCCCGTGGTGACCCCACTCCCCAGTATGATTCAGGTTATTTCAAAGGATCATCATCCCATGGCCAGGAGCACCTTTATGATACCGACAGTGGAAGCTTACGGAGCAGTGAAAGCAGGCAACGGAATGTTCGTCGTTCAGGGCCTTTGGATTACAGCTCAAGCCGTAGTAAAGTTAAGTTTGTGGAAGGCTCAAGTTCAGGAAGTACCGGCCCCAGTCCGCTGCCAAGGTTTGCTGTCTCAAGATCCGGTCCAATATCATACAAGTAAAAAACCAAGCACGAGTTAAAGGGGTATAAAGGGATGGTAATTTATATACTCTGTAATTTTGTCAATGCTCAGTCCTTCAACCACATATTAGATAGATGAGCTAGTTTATACAAATTTTGACAAATTGCATATCTAGGGTTGCTGAGCAAAGTTTCGTCCTTATAAGTGGACTTGATCTTGTAAATTCGCCCTATTGGTGTCACTCTGTGTACATCCAGTCTGTTTATTAAGCTATGTACTTCAAAATCTGCCATGCGTTATCAATTATTTACCATGAATTCAGTTTCTTTTAGTGGGAAAAGGAAAATAAAAGAAGAAACAAAGCAACAAAGATTTGTAACTAGCCAACGAGGTGCGCAGCTCCTGCACATAAGCCTTCTAGACATAATGAATAAATTTTCTTTTGATAAAAACGAAGAGAGAAGTCGATATTTTCCTGATTTACCATATTTTTTTAAAGTTTATGATGCATCAATCACATAGTACATGGCTTCCATATAGATTAATCCACAATGAAGATTTGAACCTTCTTGACCTTGAGCTAATCCGCGATTCAGAATAAGACCTTGGTAAATGATGAAATTGGAAATGGGTAAATGCTTTTTTACTTTGTCCCGTAATCGAACACGTAAAATGTGGAGTGTCAGCAGTAAAATTATTTAAGTTAACAAAATGATATGCGCACATCAAAAGAAATTTGAGATGTACCCTTCCATCCCAATTCTTGCCACAGAAACCGAACTTCATAAAACATGCACAAAGATCTATTATTTGTAGTCTCTGTTTATATCCAAGTTCCAAGAAATCGTTCTCACATCAAAATAAGTTATACCTCGCTTTATCAATTATTTACTGTGATTTCAATTCCTGTTAGTGAAAAAGGAAAACCAAACTAAGCAACAAATATTTGCACTACTGTATTCAGACTTTCTTTATGAATTCCACACAGATAAACCTTCTAAACATTATCACATTGACAAGATTTTATACAAACAAGTAGAGGCATAAGATAATAGACGCCCAATAATTACTTGCAATATAATTACCAAGGTGCGTAACTTGGTAAAAACTGCGAATTCACTCTGAAAGATAACCCATAAGAAGTCAGCGGAGGTGATGCCTGCAAGAAGAAGAAAAGTTATAAATAATTTGATTGAAAAAAAGGGGTAAAACTAAATAAGCACTAATAAGACTAGGCAAAAATACCGGAGAGTTTCTTTTGTTCCACGCCGGATTTTGCAGCGTATTGTTGGAAGGCCAAGACGCTGGTGAGCTTCATAACGATGACAACCGGAGAAGCCTACCAGAACATGACAAAATCATTAGCTATAATCCTGAAAGCATATGTGTGGCTATAATATTCTGATACAAAGCTTTTTTAGCCTTTTCTTTTTTTCACTGCTTTCAACTAGAACTCTCCAATGATTTGTAAGGAAGAAATATAAAGAATAATAACTATTTGTGGAGAATAATGATAAGAGCATACCATAATAAACTCCCTCAACCTCAAGCACATCAATCTGCATTGGTAAGACGAGTCAGACTAAAATTGATTCTGGAATATGTATCAAGATGTAATAGCTACATACAAAAAGCTACCTACTGCTTTACCTATTACATAGCTGAATATATAGTTCTCTTTTCGTTACATGTTCCTATATATTGTGTTCCATAGAAAATTTATTTGATAAAACCTAGTAAATGTCTAACCAGAAACATGGACAATCAATAATGGCAACTGTCCAGATTATCTGTTTAATTGGTTTTATGCTACTAAAAAATACATAAACCAGTGTATTTCCTATGAGAAACTGGAAAAAGGAAAAAGAAACAACTGAAGTTTTGAAGGCTCAACTAAAAATAATAAAAGGCATTCCACTTCTTACTAGCCTTTGCCAATTCATAGCATACCATATTTTAGCAACAACCTTCATGATCCCTTTGTTTTAGTATGGTTGGTTCCAACACCAGCTTAAGAGTGTGGATAATAAGACCACTTGGTCATGAAAATACACTCTCTTGATAAGGTTGTAAACTTTAAAATCCGTACTCGATCGAGTTCGAGAGTAAAATCATAGTTCTATTTGTATGTCTTATGGTGCCTTCATGATCCCTTTGTTGCATACTTCCCAGTAACTTACTATAAAATGGGGGATTCTTGCAATTCCTGTATGAATTATGTCTACCCTTTAAATAATCACAAATCCTACTTCTATACGTCAGCATTTCATTACATGGAGTCATTGAGTACTGATATTATGTAAAGAAGTCCATTTTCTAAGAACAAGCATTACCTAACAAGAGCCAAATACAGCCTGATATTTATATATTAAAATTGAGAAAGTTAGGAAATGAGTGAACAAATTCCCATATCCCCCCCAAGTAAATCGTCCATTATCCAACAATCACCAAGACCATGTGAGTACTCAAAAGTTCGAAACTAATCCTAGATAATGTCTTTCATTTTCTTGGAAGCCAAACAGAAAATATACAAAACCCAATAAAGAAATTTACGAGTTTGTGGTTGTTAGCAGTGCTTACAGGTGTCTGAAGGCCAATTTCACTGATGCTGTCCATGAGTTCTTGAACCTTGATTGGGTCGTTAGCTCTGGTTCTCATCAACGGCCTCCTTATCTTATCAAGAGGAAGCTCCAAAATCACTGGTCCACCAACCCCACCACTGCTACCACTAGAACTCAAAGGAGGAGACCCTGAAATGTAATTCTTATAAAAAAAGATTTCATTTTTATAAGAAAAAAACATCTATATAAGCCAGAGATTTTTGTACCATTTGATGAAACCGAAGCAGAAACAGTGAAGCTCCTCAAGTTGTTTGGTACTCGCAGAACAAAATTCGCCATTTTTGTTCTCTGTTTTGCCAGTAAGCCTCTCTCTCTGTGTATCTATATTCACTGTATACACTACGGTTTGATTGGATGGTATTGGATTTTCGGCTTAATCACAACTATTCAATGAGAATTTATTTGTTTTTTTTGAAGACTTTTGGTATGACCCATTCATTTGGACGGTCCAGATACCATCGAGACTTTTGCCACTTCACATTAGCCAAACCCATTTTCCAATTCATTCGTTCCTGAAAGACAGTTCCTTTGGTTCCAAACAAATCGCAATGGCTGCAGTCACCTCCGTTTCTCTCTTTAGGTACTCTTGCTGTTTATCTCTATGACTTTCACTCACTTTGTTGGTCTCGTCTATAATGTTTTGTTTTGTTTTGGAATTTGGAACAGGAACTGTGCAGCAACAACTGTGAGAGCTTTTGTGACAGTGAAAGCCTCCAACCCCAATTTCACAACCTTCCTTCTTCCTCTTCAATCTCGCAGGTAAACTCTCTCTCTCTCTCTCTCTCTCTCTCTCTCTCTCTCTCTGATATTTTGTTCAACTGCTTTTCTCTCTCTCTCTCTCTCTCTCTCTCTCTCTCTCTCTCTCTGATATTTTGTTCAACTGCTTTTTCACTAGGAAAAAAGGATGGTCTAATTGTCACCAAATTGAAAGTTCTCAAATCTCCTTGCGATGCTCTGAGCTTACACCATAGTCTTCACCTGGGTATCTGTTAATTTATATTTAAGAATTAAGGATGAGAGAAAGATGGCCTTTTGGATTATTTTATAGGGCTACAAGCTTTCTGTAGAGTTTGATAGCGGAGTGTTCTTTGACATTGGTAAAGTCGTGGCATTTCAAGATGTTTGCGTTGCATTCTTTCTATGAAAATTGCTCATTTGACATCTATTGCCAATTTTCACGATGTAGACACCAAAACGTCCTATATGTGGTGTCTATTGGCTGGTTTATGTTTGGTCTAGCTCGAATGTTTTGGCATACTACTGCATGCCCTGCAGATTAATTATCTGAGAAACTTTTTGAGCTTCGTTACTTCATAAAAAACACAAAGGTGGTGTTCATTACCTGGGAGCCGAAAATCTCCTTACCCATCATCTTTCCAACTTTAAATTATCAAAAAGAGGACTTGAATATGGGGGCAGGATGCGGTGGCCTTTTGAGATTTTAGCATGTTTGTTGGAAACCCTTATTGAAGATCTAGTTGGTTGAATACTTTATCCAATATGAAATACATTTGCCCTCCCAAAGCTGATTTTCATTGCTGTTCTTTGCATTTCCAAATAAGATGTCGATGGTTTATTGGAGTACATCGTGGTTCATGATACAACTTTGTTATACTGCGGTAACTATATCAAATTATCAATGCATATGCTTATCTATTTGTTGGCTGCTCAAGATCCAAGTCACACTAAGTTTGTAAGAACGAAAAATTGTTTATCGCGCTAGTCTGATATAGTAGAAATATGATTTGCAAATGGTCCAAATGGGTGATCTGTTGCTGAAGAATACTAATATTTTGATATCAAATAACTATAGTTTAGCATGTTGTTTATTTTAAGGTGCTATATGTCATTTTCAACCACTTTAATTACTGGTATGGTTGTCCCTTGGTGCCTTGCATACAATTATCAGTTACATATTTTTTTAGATCCCTGTGCCGTGTTAGTGCTACAAACGATGAGGAGGCTGCTGCCAAGGTAGCTACAGCTAATGCCAACAGTGGAGCTCCAACAATGTATCATCCTTGACATAGTAAAACTGGTTTGATCTCACATTCAAGTTCATAGCATACTTTTTTAGTCTGGAACTTTGTATATAACTTTTAAGTTTTGACCCATCAAAACATGGGAACTCAGTGTGGGTTCTGCCTTACTGAGGAAATTTTCACTGAAAGTGGCAATATCTGTTTCTTCATCTTGATCAATTTGATATTTTATTTATGTTCAATAAATAAAAGTTATCACAATCATTGCTGTTACATTTCATTGAATGGGTAAGAGCTAAACGGAAATTTAGTACATGTTAAAACAATATGTTTTATCCAAATTTACATATGAATTTAGGACTTCTTTCTCCCCCTGTTTTAGATTTGACAAGATCATAGCAAAGGAAATCCCATCAAGCATTGTATATGAAGATGA